GCCAATTTTTCCATCCATTGCTATCAAATAATATATTTAATTGCAATTATAAAATGCTTGAACTAGGTCATGTCGCGCACCATCGACACGTGATGACGCGGGTGAAACCGCGGGGCACAGCTAGTTATAAATATACTTTAATAAAAATGCCTAAAATAACACAGATTCCCAAGGAACTTTATGGTACCAAAATTTGACGGTGATGAAAATTTACTTAACTTATTTATTCGTAAATGTGAATGTGTTATACAGTTGTGTAGAGAAATAGGAAATACAGAACAAGATTTATACATATTTCAAGTGATTACGTCAAAGTTAGTAGGCAGAGCTGCCGCTCTTATTGGTGAAAGACCAGATATTGAAACCTAGGGAGAATTAAAATTAACTTTTGAGCAACATTTCCGTGATCCACGGACTGAAGAGTGTATCGCGATAGAGTTGGAAACTTTAAAAATTAATAACGGTGAACCATATCTCGATTTCTGCAATAGAATACAATATATAAAGAGTACATTAATAGCGAAAGTTAATAGAGAGTAGATATTAACCTTCGTAAGAGTAAAATTACTATATATAACCATATGTCTATGAATGTTTTCTTATATAATTTGCCCGAGGATTTATTGCGCATTGTATGGTTAAAAGGATGTGACACTTTAGATAGTGTTTTAAGCATAGTGCTTGAAGAAATTAATTTCTTATACCAATATCAGGCGAGAAATAAAATATTACGATTACCGAACAACGCCCAACATAAACCTCAGCCAGTGTCTCAAAATCCCTTCATTGACAAATTTTCAATGAAACCATTTTTCTCACAAAATACACAAATACCACAACAAAGTTTTAAAATTAACACACCGCAAAACACACCGAACACGAGACCTCACTTTCAACAGCCTCAGCAATCTCAACCAGAACGTAATATGCAATTTCAACCAAGATTTAAATTTGAAATACCGCCAAGCAAGCAAATTAAGCTACCAACACAGCAACCCCAACAATTTGGAATTAGGCCGCAAACCCCTCAACAACCCATAGGATATAAACCGCAATTAGGTGTAACACCACAGTTCGGATATAGACCAAACTTTAACCAAGGTCACCAACCCACTGGTTATAGACCACCACCTCATTTACAACGATCACAATTTAAATCAAACGATGTAAGCATGCGTGCAGCTCCACCTGTGAAACCTCAAGGTTTTCGTATGAACGAGTTATACGCGCTTAACGATAACGGTGACGATACTTATGACGACACCCAGTATTGTGACGTAGACCACACGCAAACGGAAGACGAAATTACTTATTGCGAAAATTTTCGAATAGTAGCCTCGGATCCAAACAAATCAAATACACATAAATTGTAATCCTAAATTAAAATTACCATATATAGTAATACCCGAAATTAATGCTAAGTTTATGAATGATACCGGAAGTTTTAAATCTTTCATAAGCCCTTCTAAAACAAACGAATATTATGCGAACTTTAAAAGTTACGAATCATTTGAATTTTGAAGTTATCAGTACACACACATTTACTCAGATATTTAAGTTTTCAGTGAAAACAACATGCATATTAAAATATTGGTATACAAAACGACGAGATTATTCAATAGATAAAATTAGATTTACAGACGTTATACCAGTAGCTTATCTGGTGAGGCTTTTAATAAGTTTTATAATGAATCTTTGTTTTCCTGTTATTCGAGCACGAATTTCAACAAATACGAAACAAAAATGGATTACAAAAGGCATACAAATTTGTTGTAAACGTAAGCGTCACCTTTTGTGGCAATATAGAAGAAATCCTAATCAAATCAATAAAAATATGCTAAGGACTTATTCAAATAGATTAAAAAAAATTAAATTGACACAAAAACTCAAAACAATCACAGTATCAATTTATCACTTCATAAGACAAAAACAACTTGGAAAATTGTATATTGATTGCTATGACTTCTATATTTTCAAAAATTATAGAAAAAGTAATTTATAAGTATCTATAAAATTACTTTGAAAAATTAAATATTTTTGCAAAAAAAAACAAATAGTCTTTCGTAGAAACAAATCTATTAATGTAGCAATTTATAAATATTTATACCAAGTATTTACAAACATTGACAGAAAAGTACCAGTGACAGCCCTATATATGGACATTTCCAAAGCTTTTGATTTTGTCAGGCGTGACTTATTACTTATAAAATTAAATAAATACGGTATAAGAGGCAAGACACTTAATCTTATAAAATCCTACTTGACAAACAGGATTCAAATTACTCAAGTATCACGGATTTGTCCAAAGACTAAAAATGAATACATTTATTGGTCTTATCCTCAATCCCCATATTTTGGTGTTCCTCAAGGAAGCGTACTTGGTCCTTTATTATTTTTAATATGTGTTAACGACTTACCTAACAGCGTAAATTTTTCTGTGACTCTATTTGCAGATGATAGCTCTGTGGTGTTTACATGTACAGATATAAATAATTATGAAAATGAAATTAATAACAGCCTGAAGAATATAATTAACTGGTTTAAGTCAAATAATTTGATAAAAAACTTAAAAAAGACACAAATAATGAATTTTTATCAACGAAAATGGCCCCTTGATTTATTTAACATTAATTACGATAGTAAGACCATTAGTGAAACCAAAGTAACAAAATTCTTGGGTCTTTATATTGACAACAACTTAAAGTGGGAGACTCATACAGAATATATTTGCAAAAAATTAAACCAATTTTCTTACGCTCTACATGTATTATCTAAAGTAGTTAATGAAGATGCTTTACGGACGGTATATCACGGTTTTGTATCTTCTACTGTGCGCTACGGTATAATTTTTTGGGGCAATGCTACAAGGCGTGAAGATATATTTAAAGCGCAAGAAAAGTGTGTGCGTGCTATTGCAAGTATACCGAGTACAGAAAGCTGTAAACCACAATTTAAAAAATTTAAGTTATTGACATTTCCTGCAATGTATATTTATGAAGTTGTGACATTTGTAATAACAAACAATCGACGTAAATATAAAATTCATACAATTTCATCAAAGACAGCTTTACTTATAAAAAGCGTTTTCAGTATACTATCTAAAATCTACAATAAGGTTCCATCTATTTTTCATGAAATGGAAAATATTCAAAAATTTAAAAAAGAATTTAAAACATTTCTAATTGAGAAGTGCTACTACTCAATTGATGAATATTTAAGCGACGCATCAATAGGCATATTATAATGGCATTGCATAAAATATAATTTTTTGACATTCGATTAGACTATATATTATTGTAAATATCCTATTCTAATTAATAATTACATCATTGTTGAATATTCTAATATAAATATGATATAAATAATATAGTGAAATAATGTAAATGTGGAGATGTATTAGATATAATTGTAGCTATAATATTTGTACACATACGGGTTGAATGCAGCGAACATCATTTTTTTAAGATCTATTCTGTCTCATTACATGTATTCACAAATAAATAAAATTTGAATTTGAATTTGAAAAATTTGAATCTAGTTTACTGATGAATGATGAAGTAATAATTATACCCCTATTCCCGACTTTCAATAGTGATCACATACATAAGTTCTATGTGTATGATATCGACGCCCGCTATGACGGACTTATTGGGAGCGATCTTCTTAAACAATTAGATTCCACAATCGATATGAAAAATCTAATATTACAGACAAATTACGCAAATATACCCATAATTTTCAACCCAACTAACGATATTAAAATAGTCCCGCGTTACGAACAAAGAGTTAAAATTAATGCCTTAAATAAAAAGGAAATTTCATCCATTCATGCAAATGTAGATAAACACGAAAATAAAAATAACGAAATTCAGGACTTAATAAAAGATATTAAAGAATTAGACGAATTGCAAAAAGGGACATTTAGACCACCACTTCCGGAATGTATGTCTGTTTAATATTAAGTAATTTTGTTTATCTAGTGAATAATAGATGGCGCCACTATTGTTTTAAGGCACACTATGGTTGCGTTATTGTTAATCTTGTAAGTTAATGAGAATAGTTGTTATCGTGTGGTATTCGTACACACTGTATACTTTTTAAGTAAGGTTTATTTATTAAATTTAAACAGTGTAGTGATAAAGTTGGTGTCTTTCTTTCTCGTAATTCGAGGGATCCATAGTGCTCCTAGTGTTGTACATGGTCCTTACGATCCGGATTTAAACCGGTTTTTTGATAGTTCTGGAGGGAACTTTAAACCCTCCCACACTAGTAGGGGCAGCGGATCGTTGCTCGGTGTGTCCAGCAGAGGTCGACGTGCTGACCGAGGTTTGGCTGCTGTGACGTCACTAGAAGGAGGTGAGAAGAAAGATCGACGACAGAGAAGGCTGTCAGGAACACATCGTACGAAGGCCGAGGCGAGATATATACCCTCGGAACCACAGCACCGCGCGAAATTTGATTGCGGAGGATGTCAACGGCGATAATAAAAATTGCATAAAGAAGAAATCGTGCAGTGAATTGTGCAAGGTGGTATCATACAAAACTGTGAGTACTTTTAGTGTCTTAATAATAAATTTAAATGCCAATTTGAACTTTATTTCTATGAACTGTTTATCTTTGAAAATTTGTGTTAAATTTAACTTCTAATCTTATTTGCATATAAAGTAACATTAACTTAGTGTATAATTTCTTAAAAACGAAGGTACGAGGAACCTATGTCCGATTTTGTCAAGTATTTTATTGCAAACACTTAGAAAATTTGTTGAACAGTTTGAGACTTAAATTTTAGTTCTAACTTCTAACTTGTATTGGTTAAATATTAGTTGCAATTTATTAAAGCACTTATACTTTTATATAATAATTACATAAAAGTATTAGTAATTAGTTAAGTAATTATTACCTTGTAAATATTACTACTATTGTTAAGCTTTGTTAGCGTTGTAATTTCTTACATATTATAAATAAAAATGAGTACAGAAAGGGAAAGATTAGCAGAACGTATGGACAACTTAATATTTTGTCAGGAGGATTTAAGTTCTCGCATTAAGAAGGCAGACGTAAACTTTAAAAAGAGTCCAAAGGAACGTATTACTAAGGAATATATAGAATCACGTTTAGAAATGTTAGAGCAACTTTGGCATGAATTTTTATCGGGACATAAAGAATTAATTAAAATTGTACCCTCAAAGGAATTAACAAAATCTACCTATTTTAAAAATGAAATATATGATAACACAGAGGAGGTTTATTTAGATTACAAAACGATGCTTAGAAGTAATTTATCAGCATTTGCAGATCATACCTTGGGTGCTAATCAATCAAGTACCGATATGGTTATTAGGAATAGTGTCAAATTACCTAAGTCCAATATTCCACAATTTTCTGGCAAATACTCTGAGTGGACTACGTTTAGAAATTTGTTTAGATCTTTAATTCATTCAAATTGTGATTGAGATAATGTCCAAAGGTTGCAATATTTAAAGGGGCTTCTAATTGGCGAGGCGGAACGTCTTTTGAAACATATTCCAATAACAAGTGATAATTATGAAAGAAGTTGGGCTTTGTTAGAAGATAGGTACAACAACAAAAGATTTATTTGTCATCAAATTATAAAGCGGCTGTTAAGTCAACGTAATATTTTAAGCGAATCTGCTAATAGTCTAAAGGATATAATTGATACAACTAATGATTGTTTAGCCTCACTTGCTAATCTTGGTATTAAGACCAGTACGTGGGATGTGCTTATAATATATATTATCACATTAAAACTGGATCCTGAGTCAAGAAGACAGTGGGAATTCTATGTAAGCAATAATGTTCCAAGGGATGATCTACCTAACTACGATCAGTTTCAAGAGTTCCTAACCAATCGGTATAGAGCTATAGAATTCCTGCCTTCCGACTCAAAATCCAACTATAAAGTTTGCCATCCTGTTAAGGTAAATTCTATGCATGCAACTAATATCAATTGTCCATTCTGTTCGGAGGAGCACAAACTTAGCAATTGTAAAAAGTTTTGCAAAGAGTCGGTTAACGCGCGCCGTAACTTTGTAAAAAATAACCAGGTTTGCTTTTGCTGTCTCGGGAATAATCATTCGGCTAAAATATGTCGCTACCAAATTAAATGTAACGTTTGTAAAAGAAAACATCACAGCCTTTTACATCCAGTAATACAACCAGAACAAAATCAGGATAGTCAAGAAAACACTCAAAATTTAGACACAAAAAATTCTTCTTCGTTTGTTTCATGTATATCTAGAAATAAGATAAGTCAGCATGTACTCTTAGCTACAGCTTTAGTTAAAGTATTATCTAAAACGGGAAACTTACTTACGATAAGAGCACTTCTAGATCAAGGATCTCAATCATCATTTGTTACTGAATCCACAGTACAAATGTTAGGTTTAAAGAAAACTCCCATTAAAGGCACAATTTCAGGAGTAGGTGGAGGTAATAATTTAATCTCCAAGGCCATGGTAAATCTGGAAATAAGATCTCGTATTGATCCAAATGTGGTCATAATTGTGAAGGCATACGTCTTGAAATCTATCACCACTCTTTTACCAGCGACTAATATAGAATCTTTAGAGTGGGATGAGCTCCCTAAAATGACCTTAGCAGACCCAGAATATTATACGTCAAACCGAGTCGACCTATTATTAGGAGCTGAGGTATATAGCCAGATCATCAAAGATGGAGTAAAAAAAGGTCCATATGGTACACCAGTGGCGCAGTCAACGACATTAGGATGGATTTTGTCAGGTACTGTTAACACTTCACGCAATTCTTCTCAAAAAATTCACGTAATGCATTGTCAGGTTCAAGACAACGAAATGTTAAAAAAATTTTGGGAATTAGAAGCTGAAGTTAGTATTCCTAGGCTAAAGTTACTAACAGAAGAGGAAAAGCAATGTGAAAAATTGTTTGCTGAAACAGTGCAAAGAGACGAAGATGGCAGATATATTGTCCGTCTTCCTTTCAACACGTCAACTCCTGAAGTAGGCGATTCGTTGAGAATATCTGAAAAACGATTGCAATCATTAGAAAGAAAATTCAATTATAATAAAGAACTGAAACTTAGATACATAGATGTCATAAATGATTACCTTTATCTAAATCATATGGAGTTAGTGAAGTCACCAGATATCAGCACAAAGGCCATTTATATTCCCCATCATGCGGTTGTTAGGGAGGACAAAGAAACTACAAAGGTAAGAGTGGTTAATGATGCATCATGTAAAGGTTCAAATAATAAGTCATTGAATGACAACTTGATGGTGGGCCCCACCTTACAATCAGATTTAAGACATATGATAATGAGGTGGCGAGCTTTTCCGATATGTCTATCAGCTGACATTATCAAAATGTATCGCCAGGTTAAGGTTCACCCAGAGGATGTCGATTATCAACGAATACTTTGGAGGGAAGATAGTACAGAACAAATAAAACATTACAGAAAGTTAAGAGTAATTTTCGGTACTGCATGTGCTCCTTACCTGGCAGTGAAGGTTTTGCAGCAAGTAGCTCTTGATGATGGGGCTGAATATCCATTGGCAGCTACTCGAGTCCTGCAAGATTTCTACATCGACGATTTATTAACGGGCTGTCACAATGTAGAAGAAGGTGTAACTGTCTATAAAGAACTAAGGGAATTGTTAAGCAAAGGGGGATTTCAGTTACAGAAGTGGTCAAGCAACAATGATGAACTACTAGAAAAAATAGCAGAAGGAGATAGGATTAAAGGAGAGGATGCAGAAAAGGGATTAAAGCTAAAAACTGATCCAGTATTGAAAATACTAGGTCTTACCTGGAATCGGAATATTGACTCATTTCAGTACACGGTAACGCTTCCGACGTTAAGAGAACCTGTAACAAAGAGGAAAATTATAGCTGATATTGCGAGATTATTTGACCCTCTCGGATGGATCGCACCAACAATTATTCAAGCAAAGATTATTATACAAAGGTTGTGGTTATCAGGAGTTGATTGGGATGAAGAGGTTCCAAACAATATTTTAAATGAGTGGATAACTTACCGGAAAGAGCTAAAACTCTTAGAAAAAGTAACTATTTCGCGTTGGTTGGGATCTAAAGAAGATGCCACGAGAATAGAGCTGCATGGTTTCTGCGATGCTTCCAAGTTAGCCTATGCAGCAGTGGTATATATGAGAGTCATTGATTCTGATAACAATATAAAGGTCAGTCTGTTGACAGCTAAAACTAAGGTTGCACCAATAAAACAAGTGTCAATTCCAAGGTTAGAGTTATGTGGAGGCGTACTTTTATCAAAATTATTGGTAGAAGTGGGTGACGTGATGAGAATCACAAAGGAAAACTGGTATGCGTGGACAGATTCCTCAGTTGTCCTAGCTTGGATCAACAGTCACCCAAACAAGTGGAAGACCTTTGTGGCAAATAGAGTGTCAACAATTCTTGAATGTCTCGAACCTTACCAATGGTCTCACATACAGTCTAAGCAAAATCCAGCAGATTGTGCTTCTCGAGGCCTTCGGCCGCCCGAATTACTACAATCGTTCTTATGGCAAAATGGTCCTGAATTATTAAAGGAAAAAATAATAACACAAAATAAATCGAAACATTTTGAAACAAATTTAGAAGAAATCAAAGTTTTAATGGTTACAATCGAAGATGAATTTTGGAGTCGATATTCTTCACTCAATAAGTTGCTTCGGGTGATTGCTTATTGTAGGCGATTTTTGGACCTGCTGAAACCGAAGGAAGAAAGGCACATTAATAGAATTTTAACAAAAGATGAAATTAATCAAGCTAGAGAAACTTGTATAAAGGAAAGTCAAAGGGCAAGCTTTACAGAAGAAATCAAAGCATTGAAAAGAAAAGAAAGAATAAAAAGGAGTAGTAAAATACTTACCTTAAATCCATTCTTGGACGCCAAGGGCATTTTAAGAGTAGGTGGGAGGCTTAACAACTCCAACTTCACTGAAGACAAGAAACATCCAATACTGATTCCAAAACTTGGGTTTTTGGCAAGATTATTAATAGACGAGGCTCATAAAAACACTTTACATGGTGGAGCACAATTAATGTTAAGTTACTTACATTCTAAATTTTGGGTAATAGGTGTCAAACCCTTGATTAAGGCACATATTCGCAAATGTACAATTTGCGTAAAAAGCGCTGCATCCGCACAAAATCCACTGATGGGACAGCTTCCTTCTTTTAGAGTCACACCAGAAAGACCATTTAAGAAATCCGGAGTTGATTACGCGGGACCTATCAACATCCGAACCACCAAAGGTCGAGGTGTCCAATCCTATAAAGGATACATTTGTTTATTCGTCTGCATGGCGACCAAAGCTGTTCACATCGAGGCCGTAAGTGATTTAACCTCAAAAGGATTTCTGGCCGCTTTTCGTCGTTTCATTGCTAGGCGAGGTCATTGTACAGATTTGTGGAGCGACAATGGTACAAATTTTGTGGGAGCTTCACGTGAACTGCAATCTTTGTTTAAATCGGAACAATCATATTTAAGAAAGGAGGTAACAGAGAGTTTAGCCTCTACCGGTACCACTTGGCATTTTATCCCTCCTCGTGCTCCACACTTTGGGGGCTTGTGGGAGGCTGCAATTAAGTCAATGAAATTTCATTTAAAAAGAATAATTGGGGATCATACGTTAACATATGAGGAGTTAGCTACGGTGCTTACACAAGTAGAGGCATGCCTGAATTCTAGGCCACTGTCGAGGATAGGGAATTTATCTGATGATTTTCTGACCCCTGGGCACTTTCTAGTAGGAGAACCGTTGGTCACTGTTCCTGATTACAATTATGAGACTTCGAGCATTTCTTCATTAAGGAGGTGGCAGTTAACACAACGTATGTTACAAGGTTTTTGGCGTCGATGGTCGAATGATTATATTAATCAATTACAACAGCGATACCGATGGAAGGACCAAACGCCAGAGCCCAAAGAAGGCGATGTGGTACTCGTTAAAGAAGATGACTTACCGCCTTGTAAATGGCTTCTCGGTGTCATTGTAGTGAAACATCCAGGCAAGGATAATATCACTAGAGTCGTCACCTTACGTACGAAAAATTCTTTGCTCAAGCGACCAATTGCTAAGTTATGTGTTCTCCCCACTACTAAATAAATTGTAAAAAAAATATATTGTTATGTGTAAATGTTCTACTTAGAAATCTATTTAATGTTCTTTAATTTTGTGTTCTCAGTTTTAAAGTTTTTGTAATTTTATATGTCAAAAAAATGTATTCATGGTGGGCGGAATATTAAAGGACAATTTGACATATTGTCCTTGGTGGGCGGTATGTTTAATATTAAGTAATTTTGTTTATCTAGTGAATAATAGATGGCGCCACTATTGTTTTAAGGCACACTATGGTTGCGTTATTGTTAATCTTGTAAGTTAATGAGAATAGTTGTTATCGTGTGGTATTCGTACACACTGTATACTTTTTAAGTAAGGTTTATTTATTAAATTTAAACAGTGTAGTGATAAAGTTGGTGTCTTTCTTTCTCGTAATTCGAGGGATCCATAGTGCTCCTAGTGTTGTACAATGTCTATTTCAAACACAGACTCTGAGAAGCATATTGTTATAGAGGATACCGATTCAGACAAAATCCTATCAATTAAATCCGATTATTCAATACCGTACGCTTCTAGTAGCACATTTACCGCCTCCGAAAAACCCTCTAGTATAGAAACCGCACATTCAGGACAAGACACTGAATCACAGGGAATTCCAATCTTACAGGAAGCAATCAACACCAAACCCAATCAAATTTTAGTGTTCAGCTGGAACATAGACACATTATATGTAAAAAACTTGTCTAGGGAAAAACAAAGAATCTTAGAAGTACTTTTACCTTTAAACCGACCAGATTTAGTAAAACAATTTCTGAAAGAATACACTAGGAATAAAACTAAATACTTCAATTACTTCGAAAATGAAGAACATCGTAAACAATTCTCGGAATTAGTAATTTTCTTATTTAAAAGGGAACTTGTACAATTTTTCGAATGCACTAAAAGAGTTGTATACGTAGATAATGAAAAAAGAGACATAGTTCAGAAATTCACGTCGGAAAAACTTGCCATCGTGATATCAAAGAAACCCTAGCCCATATCAAACGGTCATACTTTTGGCATAATATGGCCCAAATCATAGCCAGTGTAATAAATTCATGTGACGCATGTAAAAGTATGAAATATGATCGCAACCCCATGAAACCTAAACTCCAACTGACTCAAACCCAAAATAAACCTCTTGAAGAAATTTTCATAGATCTCTTTAAAATCGAAGGTCACTTTTACTTAACAATAATCGATGCCTTTAGCAAATTAGGACAGGCCTTTGAAATAATTAATAGGTCGACGCCCGAAGTCGTCAGAGCTCTTCTTAAATATTTTTCTTTTTACGGTGTCCCCCACAAAATAAGATCAGATCCTGGATCTGAGTTTAACAATGCGTTACTTAAAGAATTACTTTCTTTTTATAAAATAGAACTTCATATTGGTACCCCTAACAACCCTAACTCTATCGGATTGGTTGAAAGATTCCACTCAACCATCTTGAAAATATATAGATTAGCAAAGCATGAACACAAATATACAGACGCCCCTTCTATAATGACATACGCAATAATGGCATACAATCATAGCATACACTCTGCCACAGGCTTAGCACCTTTTGAAGTTTTATTAAGACATAGAGACTCACGACATGCATTTGGCGTAGATTTTGAAAAACAGTATTTACAACAGTTAGTTAAAGAACACGCAAAACGTACTAAATATCTCTATAAACATCAAACAGAACAAGCTATACAAAAGAAAGAAAAGAGAGGTGGAGAAACGGAATTTAAGAAGAGACATTATTTATGCAAAAGGTACTAATAAAAGGTGTAGTAAAGATAAGCCACGTTTTCAAAAAGCCCTAGTAACCGACACCATTAGTAGAAATATTATTCCCGTAAACATTAAAGGACGTGATACTAAAGTTCCTCTAAAGAATGTAAAACGCCTTCACAGGCACCTCCTGCTCGTCCTGGTCGTAGCCATGGTGACACGCCTCCAGGCCCTTCAACTTCAGGAATTAAATAGCAATCCTGGAATACTGCCCGTGAAGTAAGGAATTGCCGTCATCAGTAACGATAAATGGATCATTGCCAAAATAATAGACCTCAAACTCAAATTTATAGAGGATGTAAAAGTCAATGTACTAAGGTTTTCCGAATTAAATAAGATAGTTAATAATTGAAATAAGAATTTTTCATATAACTTAGTCTAGTCACTTGGAAGAGAAGACAAAATTGGCCTCTAACAAGCTTAGTGTGCTCAGTAGAGTGGGAAAGTATTTATGCCGGCACACCGCTTGCAACTTTGCAAGACTCAGGTTCGGCTTCACACAGAATAGTGCTCTCATCTCTGGGCTGGGTTTCCCTAATGCCAGATCCTTCCACTTGACCGCATCCAGCGCAGAGCGACTCGAACCGTCGACGACCGAGTTCTCTCCGATCTGGTCGATTCACTAGCGCTGCGAGGTGATGTTGCATCCCTTTGAGTTTTCTACAAATTCATGCAAATCTGATTATAATTAAAAAAAAAGATTATATTTAATCTGTTTTCAGTAATCTTGATAATAATATATATTTTGATACATGCAGAAATGCTCACGCCATCTACTTCTGGATCTGTTTAAATTAAGGAGGTCGACACAGAATGCATATCAATATAGGGAATTATGCATTTAAATTATACTTCTCTCACATCTTTTCCTTATTATACACACAAACAAGCAACAAGCAAACAAGGTTATGTTACCCTATCTACATCCTGTCTTGTAATAGTATATTAAAGATTAAAAGATATCTTTAAATATAGCCATATCTAATGTCTGAACTGGCGATGAAAAAATGGAATGTGAATGGCAATCTGCCTAGTTTATTAGTAGATTGTTTACAAGCTAATGTGGAGTCAAACAATTGAACTATATTATTCAACTCTAACTCATTTGTTTATGTTGTATTTTATTTTATGAATAACTTTTATGTCACCATTGAAAAATTAGCCCTTAGTGACTTTGCTTGAATTTAAAAAGGAGTTTTGCAATACACATACAATGTTAAATAACATTATACTACCATACAAAGTTTTTCAACTCATTAATACTTTTTAATTAAAGTTGGTAAAAATTACCTTGCGTACATCCGTTCGATAAAATAAAATTATGTGTCTTATCTAGTTTGAAGAGCACCTCCCGCCCTCCCTCAATTGCCTGCACTATCCCCGTCATCCCAGCACCACTACTCCTAACACCACTACATTAGGAAAGACACATCAGTTACGACAATACGACACGTGTTTCGCCTCTACACGAGGCATCTTCAGGTGATGTAGACTCTGCGATGGCTGACCGCTAAGTGAGCGGCGAGCCAAAATAACTGCTATTTATACAGCCCGCTGACGCAACCACTCCCTACTTAAGTAGCGAGCGACTGTATCATGCGATAAAACATGCGACCAATCACCACTTGGCGTACGCAGCCGTTTGTAAAATTAAAAACAAATAAACCGCCGCGTAACGCCCGCCTATCCTACAACCACGCAACCAAACGCCGATCACCGTGAGGTTGACAAACGACCATATTATTGGCTGTCTGTTATTAGAGAGCAAGCTTAAGGATAAAGAGAGGTGAGTTAGTAACATTTTTTTTCTTAAAAAACGTTACCACTAGGATTTTCTCCTGTATCGTGGAGGCAGTTTACAAACACAAATTGCACAAGGACAAACATCCAGACCCGGAACAATTATTTGTAGGCCATACAAATACTTGTTCCGTGCGGGATTCGAACCTGCCCCCCAGCGCAGCAACTCATTGCTAAGCCACTGCGCCACGAAGCCGTTTGTTTGTTCATTCAGCAGTGCAACGTTACTATTTTTTTTTTCAGTATCTTTAACTGTTCTAGCACACACAGTCGCAGTCCTTTATTACACGTATGTAAGACTTTAAAGGAGTGGAGGTTGGTTAGGTTGTGTCCAGTGTCCAAAAGATGAATAGAATAGAATAGATTAGAATAGAATGATTTTTATTCAATATATTGATTATTACATAATACTTATTAAAAGTCAGTTTTTTATTTACCACTGGTTCGGAAAATACCTCTGTCCTGGGAAGGACCACCAAGAAACCCAGCGGGAGTTTTTTTAAACATAACTTCACTTAACAATAATTTTGTTTATACAATTTTAAATGAAGATTCATAGAACCAGCATGGTGGCGATCACCTTAGTCCCAGGGGTTATTTTCATTCATGTATTCCTTGATATTATAATAACCCTTTTTGTACAGTTTTTCTTTAATAAATCTTTTAAACTTGTTTATTGACAAACTTTGAACATGTTCTGGGATTTTGTTGTAAAAGCGTATACATTGCCCCATAAATGAATTACTAATTCTGTGGAGTCTAGTAACTGGCATAACAAGATTATGTTTGTTCCTAGTGTTTAAGGTATGAACATCCTTATTCTTATTAAAGCTATTTATGTTTTTATGTACATACCTAACATTTTCATAAATATATTGCAACATGCGATGTTTAGCTAAATGGGATTTATCGGGATTGCAATTCCTGTACGCAACTAAATGCTCTTTATAACGTGTTTCGAAGCTGCGACCAGTCTGAACCACGTAAACGGTTTGCCATTCGTCACAAACAAGTGTGTAAACACCCGACTTCTGACGAATATCCAACTTATCTTTATTATTACAAATATTCCTTAGAGAATTGTTTGTTTTGAACGCCACATAAACGCCACTTTTTCGAAGAGTATTAGTTACTTTTTCAGATATGGGTCCTAAGTAGGTCAAACTGCTCACATATCGAACACATTGAGGTTGAACCGCGTACAGAGAGTAGCGAACAACATGCTTTTGTTTCTTTTGAATTAAATTGTTAATGATATTTTTGTAAAACCGTTAGAGACCGCTATTTAATAAATTCAATTAAGCTCTTTTAAATAATTTTCTTTACTTAATGGGACAGTGAACAAACGATATAATAACAATAAAAAGGGGCTAATTTATGTTGCCACGGATGACACGATGACGCGGGGATGACCGTGTCTGTAT